CGAGATCTCCTCGGCTTGAATATCCATTTTAAGATAATATTTCCTACAAAGTAAAATCAATGTAAACAAATAAATAATACAAGTACCTCACGATCACCTCCAACCATTAGGAAGCAAATACGTAATACGTGTGGTATGTGTATACCTTTAGGAGGCACAGCATCAAAATTTGCCAAAGCATGATTGAGGATACGTGTGTCATGCTCAGGAATAAACCTCATGTCAAAGTCGATTCTCGAGATGTATATCCATGACGGCATGTGTGATTAACCGTCACCGGCACAACCATGAACATGTGAACCGCCACTCCAATAGCTCGTGGCCAAACGGTCTTCTTTGATTCTTTCATGTTCAAGAAAAATAGCATCTCTTGGCTTAATATTGTTTACCTAACTTGCGCAAACACTTCACAGACTCATGAAACTTAGTGTGAACTGTCCACGGTGAGCGAAATGAACGTCAAACGGCACTTGTGAAAATGATTGCGGTCATGTCCTGCCAATTTCAATGGATGAAACATTGTTAAGGTCAAACCATAGTTCAAGACTAGCAACTTCAGGTTATTCATCTTATAGAAGTAACTTGGACCATCATCACCCATTGCAGGCTTTAGGTGTTTCCCAGGATGAGTTCCAATAACGATCGACGCATTGTGCTTTGACCAATAATGGCAGGCCAAAAGCTAGCTAGCAATCTCTTCTGGGGCTACACCTTCCGATCCATCTACAAAAATATTAACATTTATTAAGCTCAGCTGCACAATGATAATAAGCTCACAAAGACAAGGACAAAAATATATGCATGCACATGGATACTAATCGACTAAGGATAATAAGCTCACAATACAAATAATTTTAGTACAAATTGTTCTCCCATTGTTCTCGGATACAATTTAAAATTGGTTCAGTAACAACTAATAGTGCTCACAATACAAATTCTTATTGGTTCACAAACAATAGAAATAAAATTGGTTCACTAGCTTCTCCTTCTCATGCTTTCTCAAATTCCATATTTATTTGTTTTCAGCGTAAGACCTTTTCAGGCTTCGATCAAGATTTGTTTAGAGGAGTTCACCCCACTTTTCCCCTCTTCATAGCCTCTCCAATATGGGGAAACATTATTTGGTAGATGCACTAGAGATCCTATCTCATTTTATCTTCAAACATGTGTTTTTGTACATTCGACTGGATTCTTTTTTTTTTTCAAAAATAGTACAGAGACCTTTTGCTTCAAATCAGACTTGACATCATCTTTAGGTGGAGGTTTTGGCACCTCACACGCAATCATCACTTCATCCGTCACCAGTGACAAGTCATAGTAAAACCTTGCGAAAATCGATCAAGATCATCAAGGTACTTCGTTTTTTTCCAAGATGATTGCATTTAAGCCCTTTTTCACGATTATTGCATCAATGAAAAATTTGTATCATACTATGGACAAAATATCATAGTGCTTAATGTTCATCCCAAATAGAATCAACAGTTCCCTTAGCCGCATCCCATCCAAGTCAAAATAATTTTTAACTCCATGAACCAAACATATTCTTTTTTACTAATTTGTTCTTCAATTGTATCTTTGTTCACTTGTCACTGATTTCAGAAGAGTCCAAAGCCCTAGTTTCACGCTTTCTATCTCCCTTTGAGCTTCAAAAGAAAATCACCCTAGTCTGCCTTTGTCACCCATTCTTGAATCAAACAAAACAAAATTTTCAGACATTCTAATTACCATAATATCATGCCATTATTTCTATCAAATACAAAAAATCGAATCGAGAATAAATCATGTATCAAACCATTTATGAGAGATTGAGATACCTTTTATAGATCCGTCATCGAGCGTGTCGATGGAGCTTGTTTGGTTTACAATGTCGTGTGAGCCCAGTGAATCGCTTTAGCAGTTGTTCTGTGATGAAACAAGAAAAAAAAAAGTTCTCTTCAAACTTTATCTCACATCCGTGTCCACACTATTGGATAGAAGGAAAGGAGCTTGTTAATCCAAGAAAGCTAACCCGTGTCGAGTGGGTGGCGGAAGTCATCGGCCGAGTATTCGACAAAGGGCAGAGAGGGGACTCTTCTGACCAAGAGGGAAAAGAGGATGGGGGGGCGCCGGAGAGGACTCAAGCGGCGCCAGAGAGGATGGGGACGGCGACGGAGAGGACCCGCCAAACCCTAGCTCTGCACAGGCGTCGCCACTATAATTCATGAGACGATGGATTCTCATGACGGGAAGAAGAGGAAAAGATCAAGCATTTTCTTTGTAACTTAGGCCCAGCGGGTAATTTCCATCCTCCACAGCCGGTGAAAGCAACCCTCCCCCCGCTGAAAAATGAACTACCCAAAAGCTAGCTTTTGTACAATCTATTAGGCCAACTAAGGGTCTTTGATGATTCTAAAAATAAGCGAGGGCCTGATAACTGACATAGATTGCCAGCACGACGTACTTGGAGGCCAGATAAGACAACAACAACACGTAAAGTACTAGATCCATTCAGAGTAGCACTATAGATAAAAGGTTCAATATCCATTCGACATCTTCTCCAACAACAAAACCCAAAAGAGAATTATTTCGGTAAATGAGTTTTCCAGAAGAGAGGATACTCATATTTGGGTTGTGCCTCTCAGACAACCTAAAATAAGTCTCCCGTATAAGTAATTTGTTGATAGCTGATTTTAGATGTCTCGCTACCCATTTTAGATTCAGATGCCCCCATCGAAGACAGTCTAACCACCGCTGTTGGCTCCACGGGTGCTAAGGAAGAGGATGACTTGGATAAACTGTGCCAATGAGAAGTCCACGCTCGTGGTCCAAGCCCACTGTGCAAAATGAAAGATTAGCGAAGCAAGTACAGCTAGCGACCTAGCATATACGTCAAACGGCTTCGGCTCATGTCCTGATTTAGGCCACGTTCGGCTTACCCCATATTTAACTTTCGATTTTTTTTTAGTCGGAATAGTATTTTTCTCTCACAATAATTTAATTGTAACAGTATTTTTCAGCCAAGTTTCGAACCAGCGAACGGGACCGTGCTCCAAGCCCAATCATTCAGGTTAATCTAGGAAGTACAGAACCATCTGACATGCAGGTATGGATGAGTATGACGCACTAGAACGGCCAAAGCTAGCTAGCTAGGGCAACTCCGATTGCATTATTGAGCTCAGCTGCAGAAGTTGCTGACTACTCTGACTACATCGCCAAATGTTCGTTAACGTGACGCCTAGAGGTGTGGCACCTTCTCCGATGATGGAGACCTACCTTCGGCCACCGTCTTGTCGGAACGGTGACACCACCGCCATGCTCTGTGCGCCGCCGTGCCGCCATGCATGTGGCCGGAGCTCACCGCCGCTTCACCGTGGCTCGATCCGCACTGCAGAGCTCCGCTAAGGTTCGTAGAAGTCGTGGCCGTGCTTGTTTGGTCACATCTTCGCCGGAGACGGCAAGTCCACCGCCGCGTGCCGCCGTCGAGCCACCATGCTCGCCGGCGAGGTCGCTCCGGTGATCCGCCGGGCCAACCGAGGGTACCTGTAGGTGCGGAATAGGATGGTGAACACGTTGGTGCCGACCTCGTCGCCGGTGACCTCGCTGTCGGCGAGATTTTCGCCGGTCAAGCCGTGCCCCTGCTCTGTGTGTCGCTGACATGTGGGTCCCGTTGACCCCGGTTTTTGAAGCTGCCCATTTTTGGATGCAACCTTCCATTAAAAAAACACAGCTTCTCTGTTTCAAATTATATATAGTAGGCGTATTTCGTTTTGTTAGGGCACACTTTTTTCCCTGAATATGTGAAACAATTTTGTCGGCATTTACTCTATTAGACTATTCTTTTTTTTTGCGAGACCTATTAGACTATTATTAGTGTCACTTATGTCATAAAAATCATAATCCTAGGTGTTTTTCAAGATGAATCTAATTACATCAATTATGTACTAAAAATCATGTGTTAATAAATAGATTGTTGGTCAAAAATATGTCACGTGAAATACGCTACTGATTTCAGAAGAGTAGTAGTTTTTAGAGCGACCGGTCAAATAACTTCGCCATTTAAAAAAAAACTGAATAATCAGCATTAGACTTTTATAGTGTCTATGTGTTGTTCACTACAATTATTAGTGTCATTGTTAGTTGTTACAGTTCAAACTGAACAGTGTCCAAGTTGGTTGGCTACCTATAATAGTGTATTTGAGGCCGCAAGTTTTTCCACTCTCTTTCCATCACATCAAATTTTTGACATGCTGTAGATAAAAAACCAGCCGGGCTTTTGAGCCTAGTTAGTCCAGATTGATCAACAATAATTGTCGAAAGCTTCGAGTTGTCAAATCACCGATTACTAACCCCAATCTAAACAAGGCCTGAGTATTACATAAGTTTCTAGGGAAAAATCTAAGGTTAGAAGTCGTGTATATAATTCATGATGTGATGGATTCTGTGACCAAGTTAAAGCGTACCTGGCCCACGATGTTGAACCTGCGAAACATGACACAAAGATGATTAAAAATACGGTAACTAGATAGACTGGCAGCATGATGGTTTGAAAAACGTTGCACTCCAATTTTGTCTACGTTATATGAAAGTGACATGAATAAAGCGGAAAGGCATTTTTAATCCAAAAATTAATTAAAGGGGAGAGCGAAAAAAACGGAAGCATCCGGTGACCCAGGAGGCGAGGGGAGCCCAGTCCTTGCCGGCGAGCTTGTCGCTCCAGTAGTAGAGGCCTCCCGCTCCGGTGGTCGGGTACGCCGAGCAGATCTCCGCCATGGACAGCGCGACGCAGCCGTTGAAGAGAGCCACGACGAGCCAGCCCAGCGTCATGGACGCCGGCCCGCCGTAGCGCAGCCCGGTGTTGTAGGTCGTCGTCACGCCGGCCAGCACGGAGATCATGGAGAAGGAGAAGGCGAAGTTGGAGAGGACGCTACGCAGGCAGAGGTAAAAACACTGAGCGTGAGAGCTGCTGGCAAGAAAAATGCAGGAGGATCGGAGCTTGGAATGAAATGGCATGCGGGACGTACGAGAGGCCGCGCTTGAGCTCCTGCTTGTATCCCAGCTGCTGCAGCCGGGCTTGGTCTCTGTCGGCGACGGGCAGATCGCCGCCGGCGGAGGAGCGGCGGGGAGACATCGCCGTGCGGTCTCTGTCTGCGTGCGTTTCCTCCAAACGGTGCTGCAGATGAGTGAGTGCAGCTTGCTGGCTACTTGATACTGACAGGATAGCATGGCAATAAATATCCGTAGGCTGCTTCTCCTTATTACAAGGGAGTCAAAGTCAACAGAATGGCTGCAATTGTGGAATTGGCGCACGGCTGACCCGTTCTTGCACGCACGTCACAGTGCAGTGCTACAATTCCCTTCCAGATATATTATTCATCGATTGGAGAGCGAGGAAAGGTTGTACTCCTCCTCCTACGTCAAAAAAAAAAATACAACTATGGTATTCATGTTGTTCAAATTTAACTAAATTTATAATGAATATTATACACTTTTATGTTTCTAATCCGGTTTATTAGTATATTTTATAACGAATCTAATAATATTTATTTTGTATCATGTGTTAGGGTCTATTTGGGATTGATCTACTCTAATTTTTTCAACTTTGCTCTACCAACTTCACCATGAAATAACTCCATTGTGGAGTTACTGGAGCAGATGACCCTATTTGGCATGGAGCCTAGCTCCACCTCCAAGAACGTGAAATTTCTCTGAGAAAGGTCTAATATGCCCTAAGTGATGTGTTCTAAAGCTACTACCAAGAGTCATGACATATAAATTTGCCATGAAATTAATTCACAACGGCTGGGCGTTTTTCTTTCCTTTCTAAATACACTAAAGCAATAGTCTCAAATCAAAGACCAACTTCTAAATGAATCATTTGCACTGCAGCAGGGAGCTTTTTCCTTTCTGAATACACAAGAAGCTGACACATGTGCACTGCACGAGCAGAAAAAATCATTCGGTACAAAAATTTCAGATGGAGAATAGGACAATTGTCACCTCGCCGCATATTGACGGCCCCTGGACAACTGTGACAAGGTACTGGACACCTACAATCTGGCCTAGGAGGCACTGGCCGGCCGTGGCCTGGCTGCCAGTGGCCTGAGCGGGTGCGCGATCGGTTAACAAGATAAAAATAGATCCTTAGCTAAAGAGCAGTCTACAACAAGAGTGGGAGTGTTGTAGCTTGTAAATCACTACTAGAGGGTGATTAGATAGGGTAATTAGCGAGCACCGGAAAAAATTGGAGGGTTATTAGATAGGGTAATTAGCACGTGATTGCTACGGGGAAAATAAAACATCTATTATATATAGATCAACTAGAGGGTGATTAGATATGGTAATTAGCAAGCACCGGACAAAACTAAGGATCCTGCCTACAGGCTAATTTGATTATTGAATTAGGACATTGCATGATTAGCAATGTTCTCTACCTTTAAGCACTTCTCTCTGGAGTTCTCCATATGTTTGTCATAGCCCTGAACTCTCTATTCTATCTCCCTTATGTTTTCGCCTTCAACTAAACTTGTTTGATGGTTTCAGAGCCAAGGAATGCATGTTTAAACGTGTGGTAAAAAAATGCAAGCTAAACCAACCTAGGAGAGTCCTAGGGCCGCCGGGTTTGGGCTTCTCAAGTTGGCTATTGGCCTCAACCCCTTTCATAGGCACTATCCTTTTATTTGACATGTGGGTATTTCATTCAATTCCATATTGATCTGAACTTGTTTGTGAGGCCATTTTACATCGAAATGTTTTGATATAACTCCCATCTTCCTCTTTAACTTTCTTGAATTTAAGAATTCTGAGGCGACTTGGTTCATGTTCATCCTTCCTAGATTGTTGAGTCCTAAATCGAGTCATCTGTCAACGTGCTCCAGTAATAGAGGCCGCGGTAAGTAGAGTAGGCGGAGCAGATCTCCGCCATGACAGCGCGACGCAGCCGTTGAATGTCACCACGACGAGCCAGCCCAGCGTCATGGACGCCGGTCCGCGTAACGCAGCCCGGTGTTGCACCACATCGTCATGACCGCGAGCACGGAGATGATGGAGAAGGAGAAGGCAAAGTAGGAGAGATACTTCGAAGCAGCACCTTTAACCATGGTGCAAAGACGCTCAACTTGCAAAGAATTATGCTATTACCATGTGCAACCAACCGTAGAGAGGTGAAGGATCAGACGATTCAGGGCGCACGTCGATCGCTTATAACATCTTTTGCAAATGATCCTTTTTATTACATACAGCACTTCCACACGATAACTACAAGGCTGCCTTCATCTTGTATCAATAATGTGAATCACGACAAAGAAATTGTATGGAACCATTTCCATGTCCAAAATTACAACATGAACAAATAGATAGATTCCACACGGCCCTCTTAAGATTAACATGACACTTAAGGTACCACCTGACATTCTTAAACAAGCATTTCTTTTCTCCATCTGCTCAGTTTCCTTCCCTAGAGGTAAACTAAAACGTTCAGTAAGGTCTGTATCGCCAATCCGATCTTGATCTGCTGCTTCCGCTGCTGGGGCCATAGCCGTACTGGAACATGACAATATTGGTTATTAAATGACAAGCCATAGATGAGTGGCATAGATGAGTTAAAAAAAAAGGTCACAGCAACAAGAGACGAACTTAAGCCTAGATTTCTGTTTTGGGGGACCTAATCATCAATTTCATTTGTGCTTTATAATCATACTATGCCATGAGAACATGTTTTTGTGCTTACATTATAATCTAGACCGCCGCAGAACCTGCCGAAGGATCGCATTGAACCATAAGCTCCGTAAAGATCCATGGGATCAATGTAACCACCAGCAGCTGAATCATTCTCAAGTGGTGCAGCTGGGTCTATTGCAACCTGAAAGCCGGAAAAACTTAGCCTTTTTTTTTTCCAGACAAGGACAATACTATCATTTTTTTACAGTAAATACAGATGTGGCAAATACCAGCAGCCTTACCTCATGGCCTAGAATTTCATGGCTTCTACGAGCTACCCGTTCTGCCACACCCTCATCAGCGAAGGTGACAAAACCAAAACCTCGGTGGCCACTTCTTTTGGGGTCCTGTGCAGGAATTGGAAAAGTTGAGACAACTATTATATTATGGCATGCAAAACAGTGGAAGTCTTAGCCTCACCTTCGGAATGTATGCATCTACGATTCGACCAAATCTGCCAAAGTAATGCCTTAGGTCATCCGTGTTTGCTTCTTGTGGAAGTCTACCAACAAATATCTTCTTGCCCACTGCTTGAGAGGATCCATAGTATCCTCCTGATTGAAGTCAAACAGTGAAATACTAAACTGAGAAGAAAAGTTTCAGTGTGTTCAGATCTGACAAAAAATCTATAACAGATCGAAGACTTACTTCCATAAGCTGATCCAGGATGGTCATACAGCGTTGGTGCACCCAAAGCTGCATACCTGGTAGCAGCTGAAATGTATGCGTTATATGCACCATAGCCACCCTGAGATGGCCTACTCGGGGGGTATCTGACATCTTCATCCTGATGCAAACATATTTTCAGGCAGTTATAAATACTAAGCATCTAAAATAGTAAATGATCCAGTATTCTAGTGTAACACAATACACTAAAAAATCACAAATATATCACTAGATAAACTATATACAGTATTCTACTGTAACACAATATACACTAAAAAAATCACAAATATTCCCTCCGTTCCAAATTATAAGATGTTTTGGCTTTTCTAGATACATTGCTTTTACTATATAATATGTATATCTAAGTGCATAGCAAATCTATGTATCTAGAAAAGTCAAAATGTCTAATAGTTTGGAATGGGGGGGGGGAGTATATCACTAGATAAACTCGTTGAAGCTAGTAGATGGATCTGACCACACTAAAGTTCTATTTCAGAAGAGTAAGGTACCTTCGGAGTTGCACGATCAACAACTACTGTTGTACCATCAAGCTCATGTGACTCTTGCATGATGCTGTCCACAGACTCTATTGAATTACATTCAAATTCAAAATTAGAATAATGTAAAAAGGAAATGACGCACGAACAAAACAATGGCTCAGGAGAATGAACATATGGCCAACTTTTATTTAAAAAACAATGAGCACAACAATAAAAAACTTGAGCAAGAACTGTTACGACTCGAATCCTATCCCAAAATCCTAATACACGGAATGCAAGCAAAATAAGAAAAATCAAAGAAAAAGAGAAGTGTAACAATTCTCTACAAGTGCAATCGATAACAACATAAAAATAGATCCTCAGATAAAGAAGAATTCACAGTAAGAATGGGATAGCTGTAAATGACTCGACAGCATTAACTCTGTACTGGTTGGCACCTGATTGCTACAGCGAAAAATAAGGCAACTAGTACATACATCATAATTTTGTCTGCCATTCCATTTTCTGTTAAAGCTGATGTGCCCCACCCCCTCAACTCAACCGAAAAAATCTCTTCACATCTAAATGAGCTTGAAAACATCCGTAAACGTACCTGCACTCTGAAACGTGATAAACCCAATTCCACGATGCCCTTTTGAACCATGTTCCTACACAGGAGATGTGAGTGTGGAGCGCAAATTTTAGTAAAATCATTGTCATATCCACCTCTAATTTATCCCAATCATGTAATGCCGCATAACCATTGAAAATCATTGTCATATCCACCTCTAATTTATCCCACTCATGTAATGCCGCATAACCATTGAATGCTCCACGACATTGCTTTTGGAACAATGGAGCAAAATACTCATGCAAAACAAAGTTTCTGCACTAGGATCTTAATGCTGGTAAGAAGTACAAGGTCTAATCCTATTCAAAACACTGAGAATACGCTGATATAAATTCTACCCTAATCTTCCCTGGCACTCTCCATAGTCCCAGATTGGTATACTGATGTTGGAGGCCAATAAGGCTATAGAAATCAAGATAACTCCAAAAATCATTGTACACGAGTCAGGAACTTCATTCAATGACTTTGTATTAAACATACATGTATGCTTACAATTGCATGTTAAAACCTTTGGCCACTAATGTAAACCACATGATTTATTTATAAAGGCCCTTAGGTTATATCCAGATTAAGATGTGGTGTCTCACAACTTGCTCAGATAAATAATTGCATTGTAGCCGCACAAAGCGGGAGCTC